TAGACTGGTGCCTGGCCAGCACCTTGCCAAAGCCCTGATGTGCAGTTACAGGGGCAGGGTCTGGGAGGCTGCTTTCAACCGCCCTAGAGAGTCAGGTTTGTGGTCACCTTCCCTTAGAGCTGCCTGGGTCTTTTGTGAGGGAGGAGTGCTTATAACTGTGGGTGGGGGAGTTTGTTTCTATTTAAATGTCAAGCATTAACTTAAGTGAATCTCTTATAGTCCTTAGGTCCTCTGCACCCAAGCAAGCTCTTATTACAGGATCTATTTGTGCAAAGTACTCCTATCATCAACTAATCTTTGGGGATAATAGGGGAAAAAGAGAGGAAGGAAAACTTTCCCTTTTCCCCATTTTGTCTCCATTCCAGGCACAAGGTTCCAGAAGTCCCACGGATACAGTCAACAATTAAAAGGTCACAGAAAATTGATGACATAACTTGAGTTAAATAGGGAGAAGTGGGTGTCCAACTGGTTTATCTGAGGCGCATCTTAAAATTCCATCACAAATGACACAGAATGGAGACATGGACACATTACTAGGCGACACACTTCCATATTTCAAAATTCAAAAAGCACTAAAGGGTATACAGTGACATCTCCCTCCCACCCTTACCTCACAACCATCCAGTTGCCCCCCGCTCAAGGAAATCAATGTTATTAGCCTACTGTGTGTCCTTTCAGAGATATTTTATGAATATAACAGTAAATATGTACATATTACAATTTATTTTAAATATTAAAGCCTTCCTTCTCAGATTTAGAAACCCTGGTGGCGTAGTGGTTAAAAGCTATGGCTGCTAACCAAAAGGTCGGCAGTTCGAATTCACCCTATGGGGCAGTTCTACTTTGTCCTATAGGGTCACTATGAGTTGGAACTGACTTGATGGCAATGGGTTTGTTTTTTTGTTTTGGTTTCTCAAATTTAAGTGGCTTTTAAATACAAAAAGGTGGCAGAAATTAGATGTTTTAATTTTCAAAGCAAAGGGTTTTGAAATTCAGTTGAACTGTTTTATTCATAAAATTTCACAAACATTTAAAAGTTAAATTGTTTACCTCCAGAAATTAAGTTGGGTATCTAGCATACAGCAGATACTTAAATATATCCTTAGGTCTTTCTGCTCTTTATTACTCAGAGGCAAGAGGACAATTACTCACTTCCTCTATTGATACGGAGAAATGAAATCGTTTCTTACTCTTAAGAAACAGAAGTGAAGTCCTGAAAATCTGCATTTACATAAGTGTTCAAAGATTTTCAAACTGATTTTTTTTAAATCAGAATTCCTGTTGCAATAATCTCCCGTACATAATGAATCAGCTAACCAAATGCCATCAGAATTCAGATTTGGGGGGCCTGAAACAGAAGATCAAATATTCTTGAGAGAAAGCGAGAAATGTTTTTTCACAATTACAGGCAATCCACATCAAAATACTAATACATGGCATAACCTAGAACATCACATATTGACAAACTAAATTTCTTAATACATTTAAAAGTAACACTAAAATTCAAAGATATAGAACAAAATTACACCAAAATGCTATGAGATGATGTTTAGTTTCCTGAACAATCGTCAATTAAGCCAGATTTCAGTAACATGATTGTTCACAAAATGAAACAGCACACTGTACCATGAACCCAATGACTAAAAGACTGAAGTGAGTTTAAAAAGTACACGTCAGTAAAGAAAAATTCTACTGTTGTTTTTAAGCCTTAAGATAAAGGTGATCGAACTCCTGAGAATATGGAGTGCTCATCAGAAAATATATTTTTAAATCCCTACTTATTTTCCATACACTTGAGCATATAGTTATGAGTCTGTCAAATCTCCTAAAGGCATTTCACACTGTACTTTAATGAACTAGATCTAACAGCTATAAATGATTTTCATGGTGTAAGATTTACAATCAATGTTACCCAAAGAATTTGGTCTCTGTCCTTGGTTCCTGAGAGATAATCCCTAAAACCTTGTAATTTCCCCAGTGATTGATGTCTTTGATGAAGGCTCCAAACCACACCTACCTAACAGGTTATGCTAATGAGGTGACTGAGGTGGGAGCTGGCCATGCCAGAAAGACCCACCAAATGGTATAAGCTGATGTTAGGAGATGGGGGCATGATTCAATCAGCCATGCCTATGTAATGAGGTCTCAGTAAAAGATTCTAGACATGGAAGCTCCATGGGCTTCGTTGTTGGTGAGAGACAATGATACACATGGGAGAGTATCAAGTCTTTTTGGGACAAGGAAGCTCTACTTTGGGAACCCTCCCAGACTTCACCCTATGCATCTCTTCATTTGTATCCTTTTTGCTGTAATAAAAATGTAATCCTAAGTATAACACTTTCCTGAGTTGCTCTAGTGAATTATCAAACCAAAGGGAGCAGTGGGAGCCAGCAGGTCAGAAGTGAGGAGAGCCTGAGGGCTCCAAGCTTGCCACTGGCATCTGAAGTCTTGATCAAACTTGGCAATCTGGTGGACTGTGAGGTCTTAATCTTAACTTGTGAGGTCTGACCTAGTTCCAGGTGGTTAGGGTCAGAAGAGATGCACTGCATGTGCAGTTGGAAGTAGAACAGAATTGAATTGCACAGGAATTGAATTTCTTCACTCAGCTAGTATGAGAAGTGGAATAGACTGCATTGTATTAATACCCATCACATGGCTATCTATATACAGGTATGCATCACTTAACGACCACTATACGTTCTGTGAAATAGGACATTATGTGATTTCGACACTGCGAGAACACTTGTGTCCACGGAGTGCAGGGCTCCTGGGTGCACTGGCATGGGGGCTGTTGTGCAGCCCGGGGAGCTCCCACTGTGGACGCCTCAGGTGAGCATTTGGCCAGGTTTCATCCAGCTGTTGCCACCTTCTCTGCTAAGCCAGCTGCAGGGAAGGCCAACTCGCCTGTGAGAAACTGCCCGGGGAGGGGACGGTTAGGCCAAGAGGGCCGAGGGCGCCTAAGCTGGGACTGGGGCATCCAGGGTACATACCTTTCCATCGGTGCCCTACAGGACCACACCAGGCAAAACACAGAGACTGGACCTGCTGAGTTGCAGGAGCAGAGGGGGACCTGGCTTGGGAGTTTGGGCCTAGGCCTCCATCACCACAGACTAGGTGGCTTCTGGGTGGTGTGCAGCAGCCAGGCAGAAGTGGGGCTCCAACCTCAAGATGGGGGTCTGGAGTCCTGGCACTCAGACACCTGGGTGCCCCAGCACACAGATGTATATGCAGTCGGACATTGCACGAAAAGGCATTAAGCAACACATACCTGTACCTATAAAGGTAATCTTCATCTGCATTATACCTCAGAGTCAATTGCCTGAAAAGATTACATGCTTCAATTCTCCAGCCCACTATCTGTTCAGGAAACCTCCCAGCTTACCTGCAGCCGCGGCATGAATCATTTGTTAGCGACTGATACAACCACAGAGCTCAAAAATAGCCAGGTATCAAGGCCAAAGTTTGTGTTCAGACCTATAATTTGGAATAACCAAACTCAGTTTTAGACCTGGACCTGTTTCAATTCAAGATCTGTTTAGGCCACTACCTCTTCAAAACTGGAGGGTTCCTTATAGCTCCGTGTAACCTTGTCTGATACAGTTTGTCTGGGAAGGCCTGGTGGCTGTGAGACCAGCTACCAACAACCAACCAATAACCATAAGAAGCAAGGCCCAGGACCAGGGTAATTTTCACATTAAAGATTAAAGTGTCTGCTTTCCGTTCTCTATCAGGGAACCCTGGATGGAAAGTGAGTGGAGATATCCCTCCATTATAGGTGATGAAGTAAAATGTTCCCTATTAGGAACAGTTATCTATTTCACATGAGGATATCAACCTAGGCTTTAACTCCACTGAATTAAACTCAAAAAGAGAACATTTTGCTTCAGTTTGAGTCATGTATGGGGGCGGGGGGGCATAGGGCAAATAAATCCATGACTCAGATTATGGCTAACCAACATCCATGTAATAATGAGAGATTTGTACCCAACCTCTGTGCATGTAAGACACTATGCCATTAAATCCCAAAAAGGATGGTGGCATCAGTCCACCCTTCACAACAAAAGAAAGCTGACTCCAGAATTAAAACCCTGCTTTTCTTCTCCATACACTCAGAAACGGATCTTCAAAGTTCTACCCATGTTACAATCTGAGGAATACAAAAGCTCCTCTTTTCTTGGAGAAGGCAAGCAACTGGGTATAACTTACCACTGGGACATATAAGCTCAGGAGATGTGCCCGTCTCTCTGCCTGGGCCTGACAGTGATGCACCACTGCGTGCTAGACCATGCTCACCTTTCACAGCACTTTATGCTCAACTGAAAATGTGCTAGTGGATGGAATTCACAGGCCGATTTTCTTCACGAACTATCCTGAAGTCATAGCTCCTCATAGGGCATGGCTTGGTGGGAGAGATGACCCCTCCCTGTACGTCACCCTTGGCTTTATCAACATGAAACCTGGGAACAGACCTCAGAAGTGGTTGCCCACCCAGACTGACCATGGATGTGACATCCAACAGGCCCCACCAGCCCATTCCCAAGCCAAGAAACCCTCAGCCATCGCCCCCATCCCCACTGTGGCCTGCCCCCGGGAGTGGTGCGGACTCTGTGAAGTCACCCACCTTCCACCCCCGCACACATACCCTGTTGAGCTGAACTGGGGCGTGGGGTGGGGGTAATGGGGGACGACACAACTGAGAGAACGGGCGAACAGGGCTGGTCTGCCTTTGTGCCTTTCATTTTCCTGGGTTCCCGTTGAAGAAACGTTGGAATGGTGTGGATTTTTTTTTTAACGGTATTAGAAAGGTAGAAAATGCCGACAGTTGACCTTGGGAACCACCACCGTCGCAGCGGGAAATGGAAAGGAAACGAAACACGTTAGCAAGTGAAGGGGAAGCACAGTGCAGCGCGGGCAGGAGCGCAGCGGCTGGGCCGCCCGAGGCGTGTTTGGGGGGTGATGGGTGGAGGAATAGGGGTAGATGTGGGGTAGAGAGCGCTCACCATAGATCATGGCCAGTCCAGTCTCGTGTAGGAAGCGCACCCGGCGGTGCTTGAAGAGCCAGATGGTGAGGATGGTGAGCGTGAGCAGCAGGATGAAGGTGAGCAGGCTCACGCTGTCTTGCCGGTGGCTCTCCTCCGCCTCCTTCTCAGTTGCAAGCTCCTCCATGGCGGTGCTGTCCTCGGCCACCGCCCCAGAGGAGGAGGCCGAGGCCGCTGCACGCAGCCCCCGACTCAGCAGCAGCGGCAGCAGCAGCAGCAGCAACGGCAGCCGCAGCAGCAGCGCCCAGACCGCCCGCCCCGGGCCAGAGCGCGCCGCGTCACCAGGCTCCATGGCCCCCGGACCTCCCGCGCCTCCTCCGCGGGGGGACCAGCAGCCCGCGCCGTCGGCGGGTTCCCGCGGTGCCGCGGATCTGCCGGAGTGGCAAAGGCCGCCGCAGCTCCTCCTCCTCGCGTCCGGCTGGGGTTGCGCTAGGAGCCGCGCGGGGGCGGGGCGCGCGCAGTGCGCAGGATCCCCAAGCACCGCCCCCCGCCCGCGCACCTGTTCGTCCACCGGCCGCGCCCCGCACGAACTGTGGGACGGAGGCCGGGTCAGCTGTCGCACTCGGACCTACGGGCTGGGCCGGCGGTCCCTCGTCTCTCTGTGCTCTGCACCCGTTCCTTGGGTACCTGGCTATCATCTGCGGTCGCGGGGCTGGATCATAGGCAGTCGCAGCTGCGCTTCCTAAACGGGACGCCAGAGGGCGCCCGTGTCTGGCACAGCAGGAGCTGTGCTGGAGTGAGTCGTGGCTTTGGCGCCACCGCCAAGTGTGTGACCTCGGGCCAGTATGCAGCGCCCTGGGCCCAGCAAAGTGAGGGCTCTGGAGGAGCAATGAAGCCGTGTTATCCCTTACACCTCTCTTTCCTCATCTCTCAGAGTGCCTTCAACTCTCAGACTTTCCAGAATCTGTTAGGCTTCATTCAAACCTCCACTCTAGTCTGATCCAATGTGAGAATCGGATAAGGGGTTGGAATCGGGAGATAGGGTTAAAACATCTCTTTCACCTGTTGACGAATAAACTGACTTCTTATTCTGGACTGTGCAGCTAACCCTCTTGGGGAAGGGGGTTGAAGCACAGGAAACTGAACACTTGTCATTCTAGGTAGATGAGCAACAGGTGTTCCTAAAGCTGAGTCAGTGGGGCTGGGGGTGGGGGACAGGGAGATTTCCCTGGTGGCCCTCTTAAGTTGACCTCCTGGTAGCTCAGAGTGTCTTTGGATGATTCTTTGGACCAGGCGCAGCTCTGAGCAAAATTATGAAGCGGACTCTGGAGGATAGAGACTCTCAGAACAAATCCTCAGGAACTAAAGCTTTTGATCCATCTTGTTCCTCTGATCGAGGAAGAAAAGAGAGATCAAATTATTAATAACACAGTGTTTAGCACTGTGCTCATAAGTGTTTATTGAACCACTCTGAAATCCATACCAGCTGCCTATGTTGACTCTCCCAGAGGAGTTGCCATTTTTAAGAGGATTCACTAAAGAAGGCAATGCTTAAGGAAAAGAGTAATAGGGAAGAGATGGTTTTGGGTAGGAAACATATTTAGAACATGGCATCCTTCCTGGTTCCCCCTGTAGGTGACACTCTCAAGTCTGCTTAGTCTCTTCTTTACAGCAGGGGAATCTCTTCATCTAGATTTTGGCTATCATCTTTCCCTATTCCTCCAGACTGTCACCTAGCGCCTGCAAAAATCCGTATACCTTGAAGTTCCATCCAGGGTCCCACTGAAATTTCAAAAACTGGATGGTTATAGAAAAAGGTATATAAGAACAAAAAAAACTTGGTCTAATTCTTGAAGACTCACTAAAATGCATGTTTGCTAAAAACTGTCTATCGATCGTATTACACCCTCTTGGGTTCCCAGAAGTCAAGGAAAGAACTTCTCTCTATACCTCACACTAAGGACAACTCAGGTGCTACCTTAAAAGGACAGACTTCATAGTATTTGTAGAAGATTGTATTTTTCGAAAATGGTGCAACCATATTTCCAATCCAACATACCCTTCTAGAACATTACCCCCCACCCCGTGGAGAGGTGGCATCTGTGTTTCCTCTCCTTGAACCTTGGTGGGCCTTTGTGACTGCCTCAAAAAATAGAATGTGGCAATGGATTCGGATTGTGTTGTATTTGTAGACTGCTTTGGGTAAAATTGACATTTTCACAATGTTGAGTCTGCCTGTTCATCAGCATGGTATGTTTTTCCGTTTGTGTAGAGCTCTTTTGGTTTCTTGCAGTAGTATTTTGTAGTTTTCTTTGTATAGGTCTTTTACATCCACAGTTAGATTTATTCATAAGTATTTTATTTTATTTATTTACTTTTTTAAATTTTTTTTTGTACTGTAGATGAAGGTTTACAGAACAAACTAGCTTCTCATTAAACAGTTAGTACACATACTGTTTTGTGACATTGGTTATCAACCCCATGACATGTCAACACTCTCCCTTCTCAACCTTGGGTTCCCAATCACCAGCTTTCCTGTCCCCTCCCGCCCTCTAGTCCTTGCCCCTGGGCTGGTGTGCCCCTTTAGTCTTGTTTTGTTTTATGGGTCTGTCTAATCTTTGGTTGAAGGGTGAACCTCAGGTGTGACTTCATTACTGAGCTTAAAGGGTGTCCAGGGGTCATATTTTCGGGGTTTCTCCAGTCTCTGTCATGCCAGTAAGTCTGGTCTTTTTCTGTGAGTTAGAATTTTGTTCTACATTATTCTCCAGCTCTGTCCAGGACCTTCTATGTGATCCTTGTGAGAGCAGTCAGTGCTGGCAGCCAGTCACCATCTAGTTGTGCTGGACTCAGTCTGATGGAGGCTGTGGTAGTTGTGGTCCATTAGTCCTTTGGGCTAATCTTTCCCTTGTGTCTTTGGTTTTCTTCATTCGCCCTTGCTCCCAACGGAGTATCTCCAGTGGAATATCTTAGGTGACCACTCACGAGCTTTTAAGACCCCAGACGCTACTTACCAAAGTATAATGTAGAACATTTTCTTTATAGACTATGTTATGCCAATTGAGCTAGATGTTCCCTGAGACCATGGTCCCCACAGCCCTCAGCCCAGCAATTCAGTCCCTCAGGAAGTTTGGATGTGTCTATGGAGCATCCAGGACAAGTTGTGCTGCTTTCCCCAGTATTGTGTACTGTCTTACCCTTCACCAAAGTTACCACTTATCTATTGTCTAGTTAGTTTTTTTCCATCTCCACTTCTCCCCTCCCTTGTAACCATCAAAGATTGTTTCTTTCTGTGTGTAAAATTTTTCACGAGTTTTTATAGTAGTGGTCTCATACAATATTTGTCCTTTTGTGATTGACTTATTTCACTGAGCATAATGCCCTCCAGATTCATCCATGCTGTGAGATGCTTCGCAGATTCATCATTGTTCTTTATCGTTGCATAGTACTCCATTGTGGGTATGTACCATAGTTTGTTTATCCATTCATCTGTTGATGGGCACCTAGGTTGTTTCCATCTTTTTGCCATTGTGAACAATGCTGCAGTGAACATGGGTGTGCATATGTCTATTCAAGTGAAGGCTCTTATTTCTCTAGGATATATTCCTAGGAGTGAGATTGCTGGATCATATGGTATTTCTATTTCTAGCTGTCAAAGGAAGCACCATATCGTTTTCCAGAATGGTTGTACCATTTCACATTCCCACCAGCAGTGCATAAGAGTTCCAGTCTCCCTGCAGCCTCTCCGATATTTTTTATTTTCTGTTTTTTTGATTTGTGTCAGTAATGCCGGGGACGGGTGAGATGGTATCTCATTGTGGTTTTGATTTGCATTTCTCTAATGGCTAGAGACTGCCAGCTTTTCCTCATGTGTCTGTTAGCCACTTGAATGTCTTCTTTGGTGATGTGTCTGTTCATTTCCTTCGCCCATTTTTTAATTGGATTATTTGTCTTTTTCTTGTAGAGATGTTGGAGTTTTCTGTAGATTTTAGAGATTAGAGCTTTGTCAGATTTGTAATAGCCAATTTTTTTTCCCAGTCTGTAAGTCCTCTTTTTACTCTTTTGGTGAAGTCTTTAGGTAAGCATTAAGTGTTTAATTTTTAGTTATCTAGCTTATCTTCTGGAGTTTGTGTGTTGTTAGTTATGGTTTGTATCCTGTTAATGCTGTGTATTAGGGCCTCTAGCATTGATCTGATTTTTTTCTTCTATAATCTTTAGAGTTTTGGGTTTTATATTTAGGTCTTTGATCCATTTTGAATTAGTTTTTGTGTATGGTGTGAGGTATGGGCCCTGTTTCATTTTTTTGCAGATGGACATCCAGTTTTGCCAGCACCATTTGTGAAAAAGACTGTCTTTTCCCCATTTGATGGACTTTGGGCCCTTGTCGAAGATCAGGTGACCGTCGGTGATTTACACCTGGGTTCTCAATTCTGTTCCATTGGTCAATGTATCTGTCGTACCGGTACCAGGCTGTTTTGACTACTGTAGCTGTATAGTAGGTTCTGAGGTCAGGTAGTGCGAGCCCTCCCATTTTATTCTTCTTCTTCAACAATGCTTTACTTATCCGGGGCCTCTTCCCCTTCTATATAAAGTTAATGATTAGTTTTTTAATCTCTTTAAAGAATGCTGTTGGTATTTGGATCGGATTGCATTGTATTTGTAGATTGCTTTGGG